TATAATAGTTATGTCACTGAGCTCTCACGTAGTCTACCTCAGTTCAAATCCCAGACCTAGTAGCTTAAAATTCTTTCCGGGCACTTGTGAGTGCATCCCTCAAATTCCAAGAGGAGAATGGAAATAGCCCTGTGGCCATCTCCTTGGGGGTGAGTTCTCCCTTTGTCTGTATGTCTCTCCCTGTCCTTCTGGCAAGTGTACAAGCCTTATAGCAAAAATCTCTCTCTAAAACAATAAAATAGATAATAAATTGTTAACATGGTGAGAGGTAGTAAGGTGAATGACATAGGCATTTTGAAGCAGCATTAGTCTGTTAATCTCCTTCCATGGAAACCTCAGAGGAGAGCTGCCTGCCTTGGGTGATGCTAGATCATAGAACCATGAAAAGTCATGAAAATTTTCCAGATCCTGACTGACACTGAGTAACTAACTGAAACTGTGGACATCATGGATGAAGAGGGATAAAGTACACGCATGTTAAATGTAGGTCTCAGGAACTGCATGAAGGCCAGGAAAGATAAAGGGTCCATTCATCTGTATAAAAAATTACTTTGGGAATCTAAAAAAAGAAATATCCATAGATTACCACCTCTCTCATATGTTTTCCAGTGTTACACCCATTTTTCTAAAAACTTTCTCTGTCCTAGAAGAAATTTTATTTTTGTTTATTTTTTTGCAATGTGTCAGTCTCAGTTCTCATATATGCTACTTAATAAAGTTTTAATATATTTCCTAGACTATATAAACCTCTACTTTTAAAAATCAATCATGCCATATATACCAACACAATCTAGAATTTCTTCCACATAATTTACTTTCCCAAGGATCTGCTCAATTTTCTTATCTAAGCATTTTGAGGTTAGCTGTGACTTCTACTTCTGTTAAAAGAGCTATGAAATGGTAGGAAGACAATGTGGTATTAATTTTTCTTTTTTAAAATTCTTTTAAAAAAATTTTATTGTCATCATAATCTTTATATTACATTGGATTACATATAATTTTACAGTGCATTACATTGCTTTTTCAAAAGGGAATGCCATGCATGTCAGTCAATACAGAGACATTAATCTCCCCGCTTCAACATTCAGTATCTTTTTTATGATTTTCCCAAGTGTTATTATTATTCTAGTTATTTTTTAAAACAGTCAATCACTATTTCTCATTTTGCTTATAAAAAGACTTTACCCATCATGAAATACTTTTCAGACCAATCCAGTTGAGAATACTATACATGTCATCATCAACAGGTAATAAGCCATATCTGCTTCTCACTAACGTCCTGCCTCTCTATTGTTCTCTTGCTATCTTTCTATCTCCTTGCTTCATGCCAATATCCTAGGATGGGTGTTTTTTTTTTTTTAAAGTTTTTCAGTATTCTAATTACATTTTTAGTGATTTCTGGTTCTGCTAATTGAGACTTTCAATTTTAAAAGCGCCTATAAGGAGGGGCCAGCTGGTGGTGTGGTGGTTAAGGCGCTAAGCAGGATTTACCTACGGTAATCTCCCAGTCTCAGTCACGGCAGTTCACGGGCACGCACTTGCCCAACATGCTCAAGGATGTACAGACTTTAATTTAGGACCTTCCCTATGATGGAGCCAGCTGGATTATTGCTGAGCTATTACCTGATCCCAGTTCGTTTTAAAAAAATATTAAACATAAGCCATGTAAGTAATTACTTACTGTAAAGTAACTTTCAATCTATATGCCTGAATCAATCAAAAGAATTTCTTTGTGATCTTACTCACGTGTTTTGAAATTTTGGTTTATAATGAGAAAGTCTGATGAATTGCAGTATTGTGTTGCATCCTAATTCCCCCATAGCACTTAATTTTAAGACACTGAAAAATTGTAAGTCAGTCAGAGCAGTAAGTATTTATGGTTGCTAAAATAAAAAATATGTTAGAAAACCTCACTTACCTAGATTTCCCTAAGAACTTTTTGCAAACTCATTGTTTCTTAATGCTATGAGTCTCATTGAAGTTGAATATGAACCTTCATCTCTAAAACGTTAGAGAGTAAAGACATAAAAATCTAAGGGACTACTAATATGTCCGTGTCAATAATTACGTCCCTTACAACGCAAAGGTACAGTTTTCCGTCAAATTCTAAACGGTTTTGGCTTTGCTGACATCATTTTTTTTTGTAGAGCAAATTGGTTTTAAAAGCATGCTAACTGTGTGGTGTTCATTAAAGATGTCCTGGTGAGGTAATGAGGCTAAATTTAGCAAATGATCTTCACTGAAGTTGGTTTGCTGACCATCTTGGTGATTATAGGTAACTGACATAATTTTTACCATGCTGTTGTCCATTTTGTGCATACAATTTAAAACATGGAGAAAATAGTCTTGGGCTGACTTGACCCATTACTAGAGAAAGTGTGATTAAATCTATTCATGAAAAATGAATAGTATCAGGGCTGGCAGGTGGCATGGTAATTGGGGTGATGGACTCCCACTTGACTGATGGTTCAAGTCTCGGACTTGTCGGCTTGCTTTCTCTCTCTCTCTCCCTCCCCACCCTGTGATCCTCTCTGGTCAAATTAAAATAAATATATAAATTAAATTAAATTAAATTAAAAAAAGAAAAATGAATAGTATCTAGAGGGGTAACTAGGAGATATAGTAGATTCAGCCAAGAATATCATTTTCTTCATTCCACGAGTTGACTGTCCTTAGGTTCTACAAAATAATAAGTATTCTTTTATTTGACTACTTAATATGTCGAAGTCTGAGCTTCTACCTAGGAAAAGCATAAAATACAATCGCTATTTGCTTGGTAATATATATGAAAGTCTAGTACAGTGCCTAGAATACAGTGTATTGATTGTAAATAAATTTTTTCATATTTTTTAAAAATTTATTTCTTCCATTACAAAGAGAGAGGCAGAGTGAGAGAGAAACACAGAGACCCAAGAGGGTCTTTATGCTGCAATGCATTTCTGGTCTCAGCTGACTTAGATCACTGGTCTGGTATGCTCAAGGGATGTGGATCTTGAATCCTTCCCATGTGGGTCCAGTTGCACTACACTGGGCTGCCACCTGAACTGAGAGAATTTGTCTTTGTTAAGTGATGAGTAAATACCTTTGTTTAAGTATTAAGAATTTTCATTAGTTTCTGCTTCATTCATGCTTGAGCAGCAACTCTATCTTCCTATGAAATATATTAACATATTGTAATAGTCATTGAAACAAGCATTAGAGGTTTTCATAATAAGAAGCAAGATAAGGAGTGATATCAGGATTAAACAACCGGATTTATTCAATGCATTTAGAAATTGCACCACTGTAGGCCCCCGGCGGGCGGTGGCGGCCGTGGCGGAAGCAGCC